TCTCCATCACGGTGTCCGGACGAAGCCGCAAGGCGGTTGAAGAGGAGGCGCTCGCCGACACCGTGGCCGCCGCTACTAAGGCCAGGTTACTCGGGGATGCAGCGTTTTGCTTTTGTTCGGCCGTTCTGAGACTTTGGAAGTTTGGACGGTTGCAACATGCTTCCAAGCCGCACCCGAAGCAGAAGACTGTGTGGCCTCTCCAAGCCCGAAGCTTTGAGGAGCCTCTTGCGGAGGAGGGGCTGCCCTTGTGGCCAGACCGTCCGAGCATGCGCGTGATCACCGCCTGCTGGCGAAAGTTCCAGATGGTGTACTTTCGGGGACGGCTCACAGATGCTGTGCACGTAGCACTACGGACCATTCGACTGGGGTTGTCGGTGGCTGGTAAGCTATCATCGAGGACACTCGCATCTCATTGCACATCCCTTGAAAACCATTCTCAACTTAAACATATCCAGGGTAAAAATCGGGGCAGGGACAGGCCGAGCCAGAAAGCCTGCCCAGGTTCCCACCTCTCGGCTGTATGCCGCCCCTGTGCGGCACGATGATGTGATCGTAGTGCCCGAGTTCTTCTGCGAGGAGGAAGACTGGGACACCTACTATGCCCTCATCAAGGACACCTTGCTGGGAGTGCTTCGGCTGCCGTTCCTAGGACCCGGAGTGATGATTCCAGGGCTAGTGCTGCCACCACGATGCCAGGAGATGCGCGAAAGCCAAGCCAGAGGCGAACGCAAGGCATGCTGCCAGATTTCAGGAGTGGTCTGTTTGCCACAGGACATCACAGGTCCATAGGTTGCTTTCCTCTACGATATTGAAGTGCTTTCGACCCGCTCTGCATCCTGGCAGGCCGAGTGGGTCCCTTGGCACGAGGGTGCACACCTGCTGAGCCCTTCGGTCGCGGTGAGCAGATGAGCATGACGATGTGCATAGCTGCAACTGGCAACAGAGCCCCGTTGCTGTTGCTCCTGCCACTTCAGCTGGACGACATTGAGCTGCCTTGAGGTCAGAACCCCACGGGCTCGGCAACCTTCTCCAAGGCAATTGGATGTCCTCTGAAGTCTCGTTCTTTGCTGAAGCCTAATCAAGCGGCAGAAGAGGCCAACCCCGCAAGCCCTGAGAGGTAGAGGAGCGGATCTGCCTCTCGGCCTAGTCCAGTCTCCGAGCTCACCAGGAAGGCTGTTTCTGCCCGGAGGTCTACTTAGAGAATCTGTGTCTGAGCCTCGTTGGGTTACTTTGATTCCAGCTGACCCTTTAGAAACACGTCCGAGGGCGCCGGGTCCTTGTGCGTGGTTACCTGCTTTGAAAGGGCGTGAAGATTGCCTGTTTGCAAGTTTTTATAGACACGAACCTCGGGTTTCATCAGCTATAATCGTGAATATCGCAGCAAAATCAGGCGACTACTTCAAGGCAGCAGAGGGCAACCGCGGCACTCGCTTCAATTGGTACCGCGACGGTTCCGACTGGAAGCCTTTTCATCATGACTCCGCCCCAGAGCTGCATACACAGATTTGAAGCATCCTGAGTTTCAACTGGCTCTTGAGCGATGTTTCAAGTGTCTACATGGTGCACGAGCATCTGCAGGGGCTGTGGCTTCAGATGCTTTCGAGACGGCATGCAGTGCAGGTAATTTCGCTTGGGATCGCCTCAACCTCCATTGCTCGTAGCCGCAGGATCTTGCAAGATGTCTGACTGAGGCTGCCTTCAACAAAGCTCGAGCGAAGAACCAAAATTGTACCTCGGATTATCTCGCAATAGTGGTCTGGGACATGAAACTGGCAAGTTGCAATTTGCTACAATTTGCTCGAGATCCCCTTTGCTGGACCTTGCAAAGGAAACTTAGGCCCAGCAAGGCACTGCAAGAACGAGGGCAGCAAAAGCCCCGAGGCTTAGCCTGAGACCCTCCAGGCCATGCCGTGCCATTCCGAGGCACCATCGGCATCTCTTTCGGTGCATCGCGGGAGCTCGCCTTCCGGCACGCCACGACCGGGGAGTTGACGCTCGGCGCGCAAGAGAGGGGTCAAGAGGCGCTGGACCGGCCAACGGTGGCTTCAACCATTGCAGCTTGAATGGGGAGGGACTATGCCAAGGGAAGACAGGAATCCCAGAAGGTGTTCGGTGTCAATCATCAGGATCTACTTCCCTCAGAAGAACGGCATGCTCTTCTATTTTGGCCGCGATGTGACACCTTGTCAGCATGGCAAAGGCATGTGGTTGAGGTAAGCATTGCTCAACCGTGTGCAAGGGGTTCACGTGCCTCGCACTTCACCACATGGTGTCTCCCCCGTCTGTACTCGGGGCAATTCATGCTACGGCAACTAGCCATCTGAGGAACATCATGTGGCAGCATGGCATCAATGCCTTGCCGGACCCGGAACAGGATGGAAAGGGCCGCATCTCCATCATTTGCTGGTGCCTGTGCCAGCTTGGTGTGGAAGAGAAAGGGTCGCCAGGCATGCTCACGGACGAGTCCCGGGGCAGTTTCAGCATGCACGGCAAGGGGAAGGGCAAGGGCAAGGGCAGAAGGAGCAGAGGCACAGGCAAAGGCAGAGGAAAGGGAAAGGGAGCTGTAGTCTGAAATGACTACCTGGGATCCTGCTGCTTAATCGCCATTTGGTGCACGGCAGCTAGGTGCCGGGCGGCGCTGCCCGAGCTTTGTTGGTCGAGGGTTGCTGGCCTCGAGGGGAACGAGTGCTTGCAACCGTCAGCTCAGCTTGTTTCACCTTGGTCGCCGAAGTGGCTTTTCCGAAGCCTTCGTGGACCGCTCGTTGAAAAGAAGCGTGCACAGCTGAAGTTCGGGACGGTGAATCATGTGTGTGCTAGCCGAAAGATGGAGCCTTCATACACGGGGCAGTGCACACCTTTTCAGCACCACAGCTTTGAAGTCAAGTGCCATTGCCCGCTGAGTTGCATGCCGCCTGGACTCCCGCTTCGGCTGCTTGTGAATGCCGAAATCCTTGCTTAGATTCTAAAACTGTTTCTTCCACTCTGATGGGGCTGAGGCATTCAGTTTGAACGCTGACATAATTTCTGTCCAGGTGGCTTAGGAACCCTTCCTTGCGGCTTCAACTTGAGACTTTGCCTTGAGCCGAAGTGGAACAGGTCATTTCGCCGGTCGCCCGCTTTCTTGTGCTTGAAAAGGCAGCTTCTTCTGCATTCCGAGATTCGCGGGCGCGGCCGGACTCCAAACTTTGTCCCTGAACACCCCCTTGCTGCAAGAAGCGCCGATTCGCAGCCCCTCAGCGCCCGTCCGCTTTGCCGCTTTGCTCCGCTTTGCTCCTGCAAGGGGGCCCAAAGAGGGTCCTTCAGGCTCCAGCCTCTCCCGCTCAATGCTAGCATGGCCCTGACGGCCGGGAGCTCGTCCATGAAACAGCAGCTTGTCCTGGCCCGAAGCTTCGGCGAAACGATCCCAACTCTTCGAGTCCAGGGATTCGGGTCCAACTTTTAACAGTTTCCTCCTCACTTGCACATGTGCAACGGAGGTCTGTTGGTTATTTCAACGTCCTGACACACTAAACCGTCGACCCAGTGCACCTGGCATGCTGCAGGTCCTGTGGAAATGGCTTTCGGTCAGGCACGGCGAGTGGTACTCGTAGCTTCAGAGGGTTTTGAATGCTGGCCTTGTTCACTTTGGCCCGCTTCCCGTCGTCCCAAAGCCTCACGAGCACAAGCTACTTCCTGAGGGTTCTCCTCGCGGCCTGGTCCGCACAGCTCGGCCACTCCGTGGCAGCCTGGGTCTCGGCTCTTGGTCTCTTTGGGCCTCGTCTTGGCGGTGGCCGAACAACTCCAAAGGTCGAAGGCCAGCGGCATGTCCATCTCGATAGCGAGGGACATCTCCGAGTGGCTCCTTGGGACGCAAAGCGCGGGGCGCGCCACCAGCTCGCTGCGCCTGGGCGGGGGGGGGGGGTAGCCCCGAGGCCCCGTCGCCAGCGCCAGCCATGGCCGCTTCACCGGCGCCCGCGGGTGCCATGGCCGGTGCGCCGGCGCCCGTGGAAGTAGCTGGACCCAGGCCAGCTCAGGCTTGCGAGGCTTAGGACTTAGGGGGTTGGGATGCAGAGGCCTCCGCTTTCGTGCCTATCTTCATTTTGTGGCAACGTCAACGTGCCAATGTGCAGGAAGCAGCAGCCGCTTTTCCCGGTCAAGTACAACTTAGACCTGCCGGAATCACAGCTGCTTTTTGTTCGATGGCTGCCGTTGGAAACCGGATTCTGGTTGCATCCTGCGAGGTCAGTTAAGGTTACTGTAGACCGGCTTGAGGCCCGATCATGTCAGCGAGACTGAATGGTCTGGGATTGATGGCACACTGGTCGCTTTGGACGTTCTCGCTTGAAGCGCCCTCTTCGTGCTATGGTTTTTGTGACATCAATCGAAAAAGGTTTTTCGGCTGTTGGGCTACGGGCAGTCGGAGCTAAACCGCCTGAGACAGCAAGGAGTGCACCATAGTGCACCTCAAGTAAGAAGCTCTGGCCGGCTTAGCCTTCAATCCTGGCGCCGAGGTCCGACCTCAAGGAAGAGGAGGCCGCAGAAGTGCTTCTGCGGGCTTGAGTCTCGAGGCTTATAGGAGCATGTCTCAGAAGACTAGAAGACCCTGGCGTGAAAGCTTCGCTTCGAAGGTTTCAGGGCTGATTGCCAGGCCGTTTCTGTGAGGTTTTGCAGTGCGCCAGGTGCCTCGTCTTCGCATGAGAAGAAGACAGAAGTCGAGGGACAAATCTGATTTGTAAACGCTTCGCGTCGTCCGCCTCGNNCTCGGCCCGGCTGCAAGTGAAGAGGGCCGACCAATTCAACCCTCCCTGAAGCTGTCACTTGGTGTAGGCCGTTACAATAGATTGGCAAAGGCAGAAAACAAGAACGAGAAGCAAGGAGGCGGGACAAAGAGGGGCGGAGGGGGGGAAGGGGGGGAGGAGGGGGTGGG